ATACATACATACATACATACATTCATACATACATACATACATACATACATACATACATACATACATACATACATACATACATACATACATACATACATACATACATACATACATACATACATACATACATACATACATACATACATACATACATACATACATACATACATACATACATACATACATACATACATACATACATACATACATACATACATACATACATACATACATACATACATACATACATACATACATACATACATACATACATACATACATACATACATACATACATACATACATACATACATACATACATACATACATACATACATACATACATACATACATACATACATACATACATACATACATACATACATACATACATACATTTGTCAATAGAATATTTACGATCGATAATATCGGAGCTGACAATAAGATATAGAGGCAACTAATTAATCACTCATTCACCAATTCATTCATTCGTTCGTTCATTCATTCATCTGTTCATTCATTCATTTATTCATTCATTCATTTGTTCATTCATTTATTTATTCTTCATACATTCATTCGTTTGCTTGCTCAACTTTTTATTCACCATTTTTTTTGTTGATAACTAACTAAATACTATCACTATTCTTCTACCACTACTACAACAACAACAACAACAACTACTACTACTACTACTACTACTACTACTACTACTACTACTACTACTACTGCTGCTGCTGCTACTGCTATTACTACTGCTACTACTACTGCTACTACTACTGCTACTACAACAACAACAACTACTACTACAACTACTACTACAACTACTACTATTACTACCACGACTACTACTACTACTACTACTACTATTACTACTACTACTACTACAACAATAACAATTACAACAACAACTACGACAACAACAACTACTACAACTACTACTACTACAACAACAACTACTACCACTGCTTCTGTAGCTACTGCTGCTACTTTTGCTACTACTACTACTACCACAACACAGGTCATAAAATTGGAAGACAACAGCATAGCGAGTATAGACGAGGACGACCTACAGACGACTGCAAACGTCCAAGAGTTGTACTTCGCGAGGAACAAAATCTCCAGAATCTCCTGCTTCGCATTTCGCAATTTGGACAGTTTGCAGATTTTAGACCTAGGCTGGAATAACCTCAGTTCGGTGCCGTCTGCTGCACTGGCCAGGGTTCCCTCACTGAGAATTTTAACTCTCAAGAACAACCTAATCAGGTTTGTTTGTTCGTTTGTTCGTTCGTTCGTTCTTTCGTTCGTTTGTCCGTTCGTTCGTTTGTTTGTTTATTTGTTTGACGTGTATCTGTATACACTCGCATACACATATTTATTCTCTCACACACACACACACGCACACACACACAAACAAACAAACATACAGGAAAATAGGAAAAGGTTCATTTAGAAACCTAACAAATCTGGAAAAATTGAATCTCGAGGGATGTAAACTGCATTACGTTCACCACAATTCCTTCCAGCATATGAGGAAATTAATTGAAATTAACCTGGTTAATAACCGACTCAAAGGTAAATTGACTAATTAGCTAATTAGTTAACCAATTAATTGTTATTTGTAATGTGTAATTAATCTTTTCTCACTCTTTCTCTCTCTCTTAGCCTCTCTCAATCTTTCTATCTTTTTGTCTTCTTTGTTATACATGATGTTTATTATATCTAGTATGAAATCAGTCTTTCTTTTTTTTTCTCTTTCTATCTCTCTCTCTCTCTCTCTCTCTCTCTCTCTCTTTCTCTCTCTATGTTTTGTAATGTAAAATTAAAAATAGTTTCTCTCTCTTTTTCTCCCTCTCTCTCTTCTCTCTCACTAGTTTCGGCCTTAGTTCAGACTCGTCCGCCACAAATTGTTCCATTAGGGTAATTCCACTTTTAATCCTTTTTTGTCATTTCGCCACATGTTAACTTGCTACCGGAACGCTTTACTGGGCCGTTTATCACTGCCGGCTTTCCATACTTATTTGTCTATGTTGCTGCCTTTCCATGTTTATGCGTCTATGTGGTTTTGTTTGGCATTTGGTTTTGTTCATTTGTCTATGTGGTTGTTTTTTTGGGGGTTATTTGTCTATGTTGATGTTGTTGTTGTCGTCGTTGTTGTTGTGTTTGTCATTGTAAGTGTTGCTTGTTTGTTTATTGCTTGGTTAAAAACGTGCACAACAACAACAACATCAACATCAACAACAACAACATCAACAACATCTACATCAACATCACCAACATCAACAACAACAACAACATCAACATCAACAACAACAACAACATCCTCCAGACCTATCCCACCAAATGATGAGATCGTTATCATCACAACTATCTGTTGTCCGACTGCACAAGAACCCTTGGAGATGTGATTGCAAGTTGAGATGGTTACGGAGGTGGTTGGATGGTGAGGAGGATGAATACAACCATCATCCACCACCATCATCATCATCGTCGTCATCATCGTCATCATCGTCATCACTACCGGTGCCGATATCATCATCATCATCATCGCCTCAATCATCTCCATCTTCGTCGTCATCTTCTTCGTCTTCGCTAGCCTATCAGGGTACTTACAACATTATATCCGGTGATGATGATGATGCCGGCCCGAGTGGAAGAGTAAAAATAGGCGCTTCAAAAATGCAGAACTTGGAGTTTCATCACGTGACTTCCGGCTCAAAAAGTAAACAACAACAAAACCAGCAGCAGCAGCAGCAGCAAAACGATAAAATATTCTTAAACCAAGCGCCAGAACTCAAAAAACATTATCGTCGTAACCATCCCCATCTATTTGAGGCAAATTATGATTCGCAGAAACAACAACAAAAACAACATCAACAACAACATCAACAACAACATCAACAACGTATACAACAAAAACGACATCAAAAAATGAGGCGTAAAATAAGCTGGGATTTTTCTACAAACACACCTACATGCCACTACCCTGATTTACTGAAAGGTTGATGTTGTTGATGTTTTTGTTGGTGTTGTTGATGTTTTTGTTGATGTTGTTGATGTTTTTGTTGATGTTGTTGATCTAACCTTCATATTTTATATGATTTTTTTATACATAAAATATTTAAGTCGAAATTCTATTGAAGTACCTTGAAATACCTTAAAAGGTACCTTTAAATACCTACTTTTAAAATACCTTTTAAGGTACTTTTAAAATACCTTCGAAACATATTTCAGATATTGCTTGGCGTCACATACCAAAAAGTAAATTCGCATGTCCGACTCGTATCATAGCAGCAGATGCAACATCATCGTCATCATCATCGTCGTCGTCGTCATCATCATCATCAGCATCAGCATCATCATCATTATCATCAATATCATATATGGTTTTAGAAGGCACCAATGCGACTTTAAAATGCACTTTTTTCGGCGATCCAGAACCCATTATCGTCTGGAAAGGTTCGGCTT